AGTGCAGTGGTGTGATCAGAGCTCACTGCAGCCTTGAACTTTTAGGTTCAAGCAATCCTCTCACCTCAGCCTCCCGAGTAGCCAGGACTACAGGTGTGCACCACCATGTCTGACTCTTAACCTGTCTTTGAGGTCTGGTTGGTGTTGAGACCTCACATCATCACCTTTCCTACCTTGCTTTATAGTAGTTGGACTCTGCATCTTGTTGATTTTGTCATTAATTAGATGAGTGCTTGGAGCAAGGCCAAGACTGGGCCCAAGTGTTTCACCCATGTCTTACCACTGTCCCTTTCTTTGAGCAGACCTGATGTGTGGACAGGTCTAGGGATGGGTGGAATGAGTATCAAAACGAACATTGAAAATTCTGGGTTTTACACTGTGCCTGTGCCATTCTCTTCCCTCCTACCGATGGCCGAGTCCTCTGATTTGGCCTCCATATTACATTTTGAACCTTTTCTCACCATTGACAGTGGCACTGCCAAGCTCACATGCTTGTTTCTTCTTCAGCTAGTCTGCCATTGTTGCCTTTTAACCTTTCAGTTAGTTCCCCTTGCCACCAAACCGCCACCAACTTTAGTATTCTAAAGCACAGACTTTATCATGTTATCCCATTTTAAAGAGAGAGGAGACCTTTTGATGGTACCTTGTTTTTTAAGAGGATAATTTACAACTTTCTGCTATTAAAATGGCATTCAAAGCCCTTTGCAATTTGGCCTCAACCAGTTTCCCTAGTTCTATTCTCCACGTACGCATCCATCGTCTAACAATTCTCTAGAAGTGTCTTATTCTTGCTACTTAACACATTTCTGGAACCTTTTCCTGAGACTGTGATTATTTTCCTCTCCTCTTCTAGCAGATTGAAACTTACCCATCCTTCAAAGCAGGGGTCAGCACACTGTCCCATGGGCCCAGTCTGGCCTACCACCCATTGTAGTAAGTAAAGTTTCCTTGTAACATAGTAACATCCATTCATTTGCTCAGTGTCCCTGGCTGCTTTCAGGCTACAACTGCAAAGTCGAGTAATTGTAACAAAGAGGGTATGACCCAGAAAGCTCAAAATATTTATTATCTGGCCTTTTAGGGAAAAAGTTGGCCAACCTCTGCTGTGAAGGTACTGCTCGAGTACTGCCGTCTCTGTGAAGCCTTCTTGACTAGCCCACCCTGACCCCGAATTAGAAAAAGTGAATCTCTTTTCTGTAAGCCTGTAACATTTCATGTAAACCCCATTTAGAGCAGTTTTTATGTTGAGGTTTTTGTAGAAGTCGACAACAGCAACAAACACCACATCTCATTGGTCTTTGAATTCTTGGTATATTGCACACAGTAACCAAGGCACACAGTGAGAATTCAACAAATTGCTGATTAACATGCAAACTCTGTTGAGAATATGTTTCCAGAGTTTATTAAGCATGTATCGCAAAAGAAAAGGTCTTTCATGAGAACTTGAACCAGAGGCAAAAAAAAAAAAAAAAAAAAGAAAGTCTCAAGGCTAGAGATCTTCCTTTCTTCCTTCTTGTTCCTTTATACCTTCTTGAACAGAATCTTTGTTTCTGAACAGCCAACAGCCAATTCCTTTGACTGCTGGACAACTCTTGAATAGTTTGATCTTGAATTGATCACTGCTTCTTCTGAAGGTAACACATTTCTTCCATTGTTTCTGCTGACAGCACACAGTGGGCTCCGTAGTGGATCTGGGGGTGCTGATGTTTTCTCCTCCCATATGTCATTGGGAATTTGAGTTGGGGTAGGAAGCCATGGCAAACCCATTGCTTCTGTTCATCCATGTTTGATTCCTCATTGATTTGAATTTATCCCAAATAAATTTGGATATTTAAGGTTCTTAAGGCAGGGCGTGCACCTTTAATCGTTCAGACCCTAGCCAGTGGCCTAGACCTCATCTCACTGGACTAATACACAAGCTAACACTAGGAGTTATATCTAGGCAAGGTAAGCCCCCAGTTCAAATCTTGACAGCCCTGAACCCCACCAGATTCCCCTTCACCCTTCGCATCTGTCCAGAATTGCTCCTGGAAACCCTGTCTCTCCAGAGCACATGGTAGCCAGCTGAGGTGGGAGATGGGATGCCCGTGGCCTGTGCCTGAGACCCTCCTAGTCCAGTTCCCTGTCTGGATAACTGGAGACACTTCGGGCTCAAAGCAAGCATTGTGACATTTGGTTCTCTTCACACGTGTGCCTTAGACAGATGGAAGAACTGAATGTAAAGAGATTCTACAGAGTGTATTGGAAATAACAAAATTGTGTATGTGTGTTTTTAAAGGATACCCTTTTGGTTGCCGCATAAGTTATTTTTGTTGTTGTTGTTGTTGTTAGAGATTAAATCTCGATAACTTTTTGGAGTTAGAATGGGCTTCCCATCAGCTGAATGGGCTACACACTCATCTCCTTTTTATAGCCATCCAAGAATGCCACTGCCTTCCTCACATCCCCTGCTATGTTATCAGCATGGTAGTTTTGCTTGAGATCAAATCAGGGCAACACAGGAACTGTCATTTTTCATTTACTGGGGTCCTTTGATCCCATTTGAGGTTTATTTGTTTCAAGTGAAAAATACAATCCCTATTGCATGCATCTATTCTTTAGAGTACTTTGTTATTTTTTTTTTATGTTAGAGATATCAAATCAGAGTTGTAAGTAGTATGGTCATTAGTTATCACCACTAGATTTCATAGGCTACACTTTATTTCTGTTCTTACAAAATCACCAGCCTTCTCTGTTGCATAATGATCACTTCCAGTGAAGACACAATATGCCTTTCTTGGGTACTTGGGTGTTAATTTATTTCACAGTTTCCTTTGTAGATACAATCAGAGTCACCTATCACATTCCTGTTTCTGCTTTTTATTGTGTTCCTTTGCTATCGCGTTTGTGTGATCTTTTTCTGAAAAATGACAGGTAGTGTTTCTCTGCTCACTGTATCAGTGACATATTTTCCACGACTTCTCTATTGCTATTTTAAAAATATAACGTTTTATAGATGTAATCTTAGTTGTTTGTAACTTAGGTTTTGTTATATGAGCAAATTTCCTAAATGACATGTTGGTTTAGGTACATTTTTTAAAGAAGGGAAAAATATTTTCTGCAAAATAGTTTCTTCTAAATTGTAAGTGAAGGAAAAGCTCTGTAAGATTATAATGCATTTTCCTGATTTTTTAGTACATCGAAATGCATGAACATTATTTTTACGTAAGTGATTAAGTTGCGGTTTTTAATAACACGTTGTTAGAGCAAAAAGAGCTATCCCTTTTGATTTATTTGTATATTTACTGGGTGACTTACAGTGCTTTACATATTAGAATTGGTTTGTCAACAATTAACATTCTAGGTTTTTATATAACCCATACTTCAGGTAATAGAGGATTATTAAACTGCAACCAGTGTGTTAGAAATCTGCCTACTGGTAATAAAATTCTTATGTATAACAGCAGCTGAGAAATACTGCTGTATATTTATGCATAGATTGCAAGATAGATGGCCTGCAAACCGCAGAGGGGCCTGACATGCAGGTCCACCAGCAGGTGGCGCTGCTTTTCTAGAAATAAACCCTCTACCTGGCTTCTAGGTACTCTCCTCCTCCTCACTTTCTGCCTTTTCTCTTGCAGATTGTCTCCTTTATTTCTCTAAAATAAATATCTAAAACTGTTGTTGCTGTTGTTTGAAGAGATATACTGCCAGTAGGACAATGCCCCTCAATTGCTAAGGTTTATTTGAAATCCAGCTTGCCTGATGCAGTGCTTACTTGAAGCAAGTCCGGGTTAGATACATGTTACTGTTTTTAAAAGGTAACTACACAGTGCTGGATTCGGCACTGAGATTGGATTACCTGTGCTGTCTGATTATTGTTATGTGGCAAGTCCTCATTTTAATCTAATATCTATTTACACAAATTAATCCCATAGGCTTCTATTCACCTCAGGATAATGAGGGGCATTTTTATTAAAGTGACTGATTGATATACTGAATTAATGTTTTATATAAAAAAAATCACCTTAGTATGATGTTCTTTCATCATGGTTACTCTAGAATCCAGGCTGGGTACAGTGGCTCATGTCTGTAACCCGAGAACTTTGGGAAGCTGAGGTAGGCAGATCACTTGAGGTCAGGAGTTTGAGACCAGCCTTGCCAACATGGTGAAACCCCATCTCTACTAAAATACAAACATTAGCCAGGCGCCTGTAATCTCAGCTACTTTAGAGGCTGAGACAGTAGAGTTGCTTGAACCCAGGAGGCGGAGCTTGCAGTGAGCCAAGATTGTGCCGCTACACTCTAGACTGGGTGACAGAGCGAGACTCCGTCTCAAAACAAACAAGCAAACAAACATAAAACTAAATAATAATACTAATAAAAGAGTTACTCTAGAATCCAAGTCATCCAAAGCGTGTTGCTTTTCTCTCGGGACCAGAACTAAATTTTGACAAACAGGATCAAAGTTTTTATTATGTTTTGTTATGTTTTTTAAGAATACTTTTCACAGAAAAGCTGATCAGCTCATCAACTTGGGTATCATAAATGAGGACAAAAATCAAATATGCAAGCAAAACTATTTTTAAACATTATTTTGTCCACACATACCTGATTTTTCAACCATTTTTTTTAAAGACACAGCTACTTTTTTTACTGTTTTTTCACAGTCTGCGGTATTCCTTTGTTCAGGATATTTGAGTGTAAACATTAGCTTATGTAGGAGAAAATGAATTTATTGAGGTTACAGAAGGGGAGAATTGAAATATGTCTCAGGATGACTCATTTATTTTCTTCATTATTAAATATTCTTCTTTTTTTTTTTTTTTTTTTTTAAGAAAACATTGTCTTACTGTGTCATCCAGGCTGGAGTGTAGTTGTGCAATCTTGGCTCACTGCAACCTCTGCCTCCCGGGTTCAAGTGATTCTCCTGCCTCAGCCTACCAAGTAGCTGGGAATACAGGCATATGCCACCATGCCCAGCTAATTTTTGTATTTTTAGAGTCAGGGTTTTGCCATATTGGCTAGGCTGATCTTGAACTGACCTCAAGATATCCACCCACCTCAGCCTCCCAAAGTGCTGGGATTACAGATGTGAGCCACCATGCCCGGCCCTTCGTTATTAAATTTTATACCTATCAGGCCATAAAGAACTTTGGAAGCATAGGCAGTATTTTACTCTTTTAATAGGATGTGTCTCTTTTGAGTTTTTAAAGTTTTCTCAGGCATACTGCACTAAGGGCTGCAAGTTGATCTAGATAATATAATGTACATTCTTATTTAATTCACCCATGTGGTTTTCACAGAGAACATCTTGAAGTGTTATTGATTCAACAAAACCAAGGAGGAGAGGATTGGGGAAACATTTTCTTCTCAGTGAATCTACTTTAAAGCACTGGTTTTGTTGAAAATGATTTTTTGAAAATATGGATTGCAGTCAGTTTTCGTGTAAAAGTCAAACCCTGATGGGTTTCCTTCCAGTTCTCTGTAGAGTGGATGGTATCAGCTGGAGTAGCTGAAGACAGGAAATAGCCATCCTGACATCAGGGTAAATTTACCTGGCTGGGCTGTGAGGAATAGGCCTTGTGAGTTTCACGGGATCCCTTTCTGAGGTCCTTTCTGAGGACCCCTTTCTGAACCTTAAACCTTATTTAAGGTTATCTAAAATAGATAACCTTATTTTCCTGTTGAATAAGCTCTCCAGAAAAAAAAGAGAAAAGAGACCTTCAATGGAACTGGACCATTGCCAAGGGCCTCCCTGCTTTAGTTCCATGCATGAATGTGTGTTTCTTACCTTTGAAAGGAAAGTGGGCTGAGCAAGCTAGGCAGTTTCTGATAGACTTTTCCAAGATGCAAAGCCCACCCACTATCCTCTTTGAACTTCAGTATTTAAATCGAAGGAAAAATAACTTTCCCAGAGGATTCAGATTATTACCAAATATTGTCCAAATTCTATCATTTGGAAGGTAAACCTTTACACTATCTGCCCTTTATACCTCCAACTGTGCCCTCAAATACATCTTCCTGCACTAGCCAAACTGACTTTCTTACAGTTTCATATTTTCCAACCACCTTGACTTGGTTCAAGCTGTGTCCTCCACCTGGCATGCCCTTCCCACCCTCGATTGCCACTCCTCAGTCTGTTCAGCATCACGGGCCAAGTGCTCCCTGAGTGCCAGGCCCTGTGCTCCATCTGGGGATATACGGTAAATAAGGCTGACCTCTCTATTCATCCTATTCTTGTTTCAAGTCTTCTTCTTTTTCTTTCTTTCTTTCTTTTTTTCCTAGACAATTCTCTCTTTAGGACTTACTTATTCACTAACACATTTCATGTAGCCATCCCTTGACATTCTCATGCAACATCTTTTGTGCTGTTGCTTTTGTGTAACTTACGAGTTCGTATATTCGTATTTGATGCAGTTATCTAATTTCTCTGGCTAGGGTTGTGGTTCTCTCTTATTGTGTATCTTTAAAAAGATTTTAAAGAAAAGAACAAGAAAAAGTGATGCCCAGCATTAAACTCAGAGTCATTAAAATCAGAGCCAGAAAAGTCTCATACTTAACTAATGCTCATCCCCCCAGGAAAGGAAAGTGTCTTGCCAAGGCCACATGGTTGATCCAAGGCAGGCCTAGAACCCAGGGCTCCTGAACACTAAGCTGTGCTTCTCCCCTTTGCAACATCGCCTCTGTAGCTGCTAGGAGCTATTTATTGGGAACTTTGCAGGGCTCAGCATTGTGAGAGACTCAGTGATATGTAAACTCCAACAGAGCAGCTTATAAGCCTAGTAGGGGGAGTAGAACACATTTGAATTGAAAACAAGTTATAATAATGTAAGGCATGAGATCAGAAGTGCCAGGGGATTTTTTTAAAGAAAGGAGAGAATTGATCTTGTCATAATCATCTGGGAAGGCCCCCTGGAGGAGGCAGCCTAGCCTGTCCCTTCAAGGGTGGTCAAGTAGTCAGGTGAAAGGAAGACATGGTGGGAAGGCCTGGTGAAGGAGTCACTGCCTCTCTACCCCGCCATGCCCCTGCCCCTTCTTCTGTCTCCCACGTGTCTGAATACGCCGATCAATCCCATGACCTCCCAGCAGAAATTCAAGGGAAAGAGGCCCTCACAATCAGGCGGTGTGAATTTCCTGTAATTTAGAGGAAACAGTGGGGTTCCTCTGTCGCCATCTGTCTTTCATTTGTTCTTGCCGTGAATGGTTCCAGCCTTCTCCAATTGAGGTCCGTTTAAAGGTTTTCTGGCTTTTCTTGTTTTTATGACATTTGGCAAAACCTAATTATTTGACTTGAGCACTTCATTGGGGCCATATGAAACAAGGGACAAAGGTGACAGTCGAATGAGATGCAAGGGTAAGGGTCAGGTTGGGGGTGGGAAGGCTCACCCCATTCTAAGGGTTGGTTACTGGATCAATTGCTTGGGGCAGGAGAGAGAGTATGGACCCATGTGAATTACACCATGTCCAAAGGTGGCAGACTGGTGTGGAGAAGGACCCAGAAGCAGAGAACTCTCATTGTTCTGACTCTTCAAAGCCAAGGCAATAATCATGGGTAGCGTTTAGAAAGAGCTCACCAGGACTTAAGTGCTTTTCACATTTTCCGTCCATTCTCACAACCCTGTTAGATAGTTTCCAATTCTCATTTTATTGGTGAGAAAACTGAAGTTAGATAATTTGCCAAATACCTAGGTTCAGACCCAACAGTGTGGCTTCAAGGCCTGTGTGCTTAACTCTTACCCCTCTACCCACTCAATATGAGTTGGCATTTGTGGAAGGATATCCCATGCCTTAAAATCTTTATCTCAGGGATGGTACACTTGAGTGTCACTGGTTTCAGGGCCAGAAATGCAAACATGGGGTACCTGCCCTATATCTGGGGGTACAGTAGGCAGCAGTGGGGCATTTGAGCAGCTGACAAGCTCCTGCCCCAGGAGAAAGGCACCCTTTTGGAATGAAGACTCAGTCCTCTAGGAGATTTTAAATTAGAAGTTAGAAATCCATATTCATGTGGACAATCTTCAGACTTAAAGATTGGTCCTCAGACTGTCAGCCTACAGCCCCAGGTTATGTCCTGTAATCCCAAAGCATCTCCCAAATTTGGTGTCCTCCTTGGTCCAGTAGGGATCACAGTAGATCGCAGGACATGGAGGTGTGGAGTAACTGATTTGACCTACAGTAAATCCAAATCTATTTGATTATAAACTATCTTAGAAAAAGAGCTCTAAAGAGGGTCAGAGCTGGAACTTGGGCAGGTGGACTGACTCAAGAAGCTCATATCCTCACGCTGTTCTCACAGGCAGAATTCTGGCAGCAAATGATCTGAATTAGAAGTCAGCTGACCTGGGTCCTGGTTCAGGGTCTGCATATGAGTGCAGCTTTGAGGCAAAAGAGGGTGAAGCCAGAGCATCTCCAAGCACCTCCCAGTCCTTCTGTTGCACTCCACACCTTTTTCTCTAATGTGTTGACCAGAAAGGGCCTGCCATACACTAGCATTATAAAATATTGCACAGGATGTGTCCAAGGATAAATTATAATAGCATACAGATAATGATTTTGTAGTTCAAGAACATCTATAGAAGGTGATTATGCCCTTAAGAAATATACTAAATGCTGTGTTTAGTGTAAAGTCATAATCCACACTGGTCCTTACCTCCCAAGGTTAAAAGCATACTGTATTTCTAAAGTGTTCTGGCAGAACATTCTTCATCGGGCACCTGGGTTGCACTAAAAACCCATGCATTTTACCTTTATCTGAGTTTCAAAGAAAGTATCAGTGCACCCATCTGGAATACATATTAGAATTCTAGGGGGCTCTTGATACCATTGGCTCAATGGAAGATATGGTATTTCTGGATGAACCAATAGTAATAATGTTAATAATAATAGTGGTTCATATTTATATAACATCTTATGGTTTAGAAAACAGTTTCACATATACACAATTAGGTTTTAGACTGGTCTTTAAATATGAGAATCATTGGGGCAAGCATTAATTTAAAGAATATAAACAGCAAAGTGAAAATGGAAATGAAGTATGATTGACTTCTTCTGCCAGTCGTGGCTATTTGAAGCTGTTTGGCAGCGGGGAGGTGGGGGCCAAAAAAAAAGAAAGAAAGAAAGTAAGTAACGTTGGTGTCAAAATGTGTAAGCAAATAAAAACTTTCACCCCAAAGCGGAAATGTAAATCAACTTTGTGTTAACCAGGAGAATTTGATGTGGGATGTGAAATAAAGTCCACGAGAGACCTGACCCCCAGCTCTCTTTTCTGTTTCTCACTCTGGGCAGGTGGCAAATCTCAGATTCCTGAGGCAGCGTGATCTTTTCTCCACTCCTTTGGATGCCTGGCAATTTGTAAATCCACAAGGAAGCATTTGTTTCAAGGGCCTTCCTTAACAATCTCATGCAAACAGCATGAAGTGATCAAAAGAAATAACTCTTGTCTTAGATTTGCCTTGTCCAGTTCTGCGGGGTGGCAGAACCAGGACCTCGAATACCTTTGAGAAGTGGTGTTCAGGGCTGGAAATTGGGTGAGGTGAAAGAAGCTTTTGCCTTGGGCACCAAATTTAAGAGGAGACCCAAAACCTCAGGAATCAAGATAAATGATAGTTTCATGCAATATTTTCAAACTATCAAAATAAAATATTTTCAAAATATCAAAATTTTAAAAATCCAGGATGAACAGAATGTCATAATTTTAAGTAAAGACAGGAAAAATATTGATTCCAAAGCTGGCATTTAAGTACTGAATTCACTAGGGCTGGAAACAATAAGGACACCAGGAAACTAGCAGCTGCAGCCATAGGTGTGAGCCCTTCCAGGGTGCCAGGAGCAGTGTTTGGTATCTTACAGGCACTTTCTCTTGATACACATCAGGGGACCTGATTTGACCTACAGTAAATCCAAATCTATTTGATTGTAAACCATCTTAGAAAAAGAGTTCCTTTACAGGCTCCATAAATTCCATTATAGTCCATTTTGTCTTTGTTAAATGTATGGGTTGGAAATTACAATTCTTTTATTCACAATGATGATTTTAGACACACAGCTCAGAAAGATCAGCATTCACTTAAAAAATATATTAGCATGCTTGTATCTATTAAGCACTATTGCTTTGTAGGCTCCAGCTGGTGATTTTATTAAGTAGACTGCAAAAGGGGAAGAAAAATCAAGGATAATTATAAATTCATAAATACATAATTCATTGGCATAAAATGATTTAAATGGATTGGATGTGGTATTATCTATTTCCTCAAGAAAATAACAGAGATGTTCTGATTAAGCCCATAATCTAGTGTATGTGAAATTCTAGCCAAACTGATGGGGCACATTTTCTTTTTTGAAACTACCTTTGATAAGAAATGCATTACAAACTCATCAGTTTGGCTTCCTGTTAACAAAGAGACAGCAGCCGTCTGGATCATTCTGGATTCACAGTGAAACTGCCACACCATGTATCCTCCAACTAAAGCTGTGCAAGTTTGACAAGGGGCAGATGAATCCAGGAGTTATTGTGCAGGGGTTTAAATCTATGCGGCAGCTGACGGTTGAAATAATCATCTATATATCGCTCTGAGCTAGCTGGGGAAAGGTTGAAGCTGTATATTTTCAACATATCTAGTCTAACGGTTAATCTGTTGTCTTGTACGGGGCTCTCGCAGGGTGGACTGGCAGCACACGCTGACAGCTTCGAGGAATTGCTCACGGTAGATGTGGTTCGCCTTGCTTTCCAAAGTACTAGATAGATGAATCTAGCTTAGCTTGAGTTGGAAAATGTGAAACTCACCTGACTCATGACCTCAAACATGAATGGACCAGCAGGGCTAATAGTGGGTTGGGTGGTAGGGACAGTAGAGTCACTAAACTACCTCCCTTCCTCTCGACGTCCCCAGATTTGTGTACTTCAGGTGTGCTCCATGGGTATTTCTTTTGTTATTTGGCTGTCTTGACAGGTTGGGAAGAACATTGTTCTTTGTGGAGACTGGAAAGCAAGGGAAATATGAGATTAAACTACTGCAGGGGTCAGCAAAGTTTCTCTGTCAAAGGTCAGGGAGTTAATATCTTAGTCTTTGCAACACATATAGCAAAGTCCTCAACTTTGTCGTTAGAGATGGAAGCAGCCAGGGATGGCAGGTAAACCAACAACTGTGGCTATGGTCTGAACAAATTTTATTTATAGCCACCAAAATTTGAATTTCATGTCATTTTAGTGGATTACAAAATATTATTATCTTAGATTTTTTTCCCCAATGACTTAAAAATGTAAACACATGTTTAGCTCATGGGATGTACAAAAACAGGTGGCAAGCTACAGTTTGCTGACCCCTGAACGTGAGAAAGATGAGAAGGAAGCAGCTGTTGGTGTCCAGGATGTGGCAGGTTTCATCCCTACTCTAAAAGTTGTCCCCCACAAACATGGACTGCACGTGCTATGGCAACCTAAAGGAGTCAGTTTTAACTTTTGGCCACAAAGCCAAAAGTTGACTTTTGGTGTCAGGAGTAGGGAGTAGGGAGAGAAGGAAAGAAAAGCTGGGAAGGGGCTGTTTGTATTGGACTTTTATACATTCCCCACCCCTCCCAGATGGATGCAAAGTAAAAATTATCTCCCATCTCCTAGTACCTTCCCATTCTCCAAACCCCATAGCAAAAATTCAGGGATGTTCTTGAATTTCTCTTTTCGATTGTGCGTTTCCTGTTGGAATTCCATTGTTCATCTCCATGTCTCATCTCTAAGAAACTAATGCCTAGTGATTTTTGCTTGAGACTTTTCTTTGCCCTTGAGGTAATAGAGAGTCTATTCCAGGGAAAACAGAAAATAGCTAAAGGCAACCAGAAAATTCCAAAAGGATTTTCTACTGAATACTGAGCAGGGCAGAGCATTGGGCAATGATTCTAACAGGTCAAGTCTACAGTGAAGATATATGAGCTGCGATTCTAGATATGGGGGGCTTTGGTAGATGCTGGGTTCCTCTCAGGATGCATACAGAACATAGTTTGAGATTGGGGTTGGGGGCCTATGGCGTGGGTACCATGGGTACATCTAATTCACCCAATTGGATTCTAGAGGATCCGTTAGGCCCACAGCATTTTGTAGAGAACACTGCATTCCAAGTCATGTGGATTCTGTTAATATATTTATATAGTATTTTTTTCTCTCTCCCGTGTAGGAGCTGAATTCTTTCATTACTCTGTGTTGATGGACTCAAACTTACACAATTCAGGTTTCCTAGGCAGTGAATAGAGCCAGAAATATACCCTGTGATTAACTTCTATGTAACCTATTGTTCCTTAAAGTCTCCCTCCCCATTTTCCTATTAGCTCCACAAAAGCCAGAAATGCAAAAGCTCCAACAAGCCTCCCTTCCCTGCCCTGGCAGCCTACCATGGGGTGGGCACTCCCTATGCCTGTCCTAGGGCAGTACAGGTCACTTAGACATTTTTAAAAATTCTTATTCTGCATAACGACAGATTTTTAAAAAACTGACACCCATTAGGTTTTCCAAGTTAGTGTGTTTCCTATTTCCTAGCTAGAAGTTGTGAAATTATCCCGCTGGAATAATGTATATGATAATGTGGTTGTTCAATTTTAGAGAGGTGTATATGTTTGAGATATTACGATTGTTGGGGTTGCTTTTAAGGGGCAGCGTCTTTCATCTTTTCCTCATCTGTGGCTTAATATTAGCGGTGATGTCAGAGGTTGCAGTGAACCAAGATAGCACCACTGCATACCAGCCTGAGCAACAAAGACCTTGTCTCAGAAAAAAAAAATATTAGCCATGCTCTTTCAAAAAATAGATTTATAGTTGATTTTTATGAAGAATACTACAGTGCTCATCAAACTTCTTGGTGATATGTGCTATTCCAAGGTTGTCAGGCAAGAAATTCTCATTCCAAGGCTATCACCGATACCCACTTTAACTCCCCTGCACTTTGGTACTGCCCACTACTCTGGGCGTAGAACTTGGCTCCATTGCCTGGCTTACCTGATCCTAGCTGTGCTTAACAGCTCAGCCTCGTTGATGGACACATGACTTTCCCCACTGTAGGATTCATTCCAAAACAGCAGTCAAGTGCTCCTTTACAGAAATTATACTACCAAATTCACAGTATGGGTTGTTCATCTGGCATATATTATTGTTTTTGTGGTTGTTTACCCATCATTGCTTAAGGAAATAACCACACCCTCTCACCAGTCTGGTTTGTGTGAGAAAGAGCCAGACACCATTCCATCCTCCAATCCAAAGATTGCACTCTTGTGGCCACATTGTAAGACTTTGAGAGTTAACTTGCGCAAACTTTCTGGTGAAAGTCTTAAACAGTCATATCAGAGAGAGCTTAGGTCAGCTTGGGAGTTTTGTCCATGGTGAATTACATTTTGCAACATGACTGTTATAAAATTCCAGGAATTTTACCCTCACTCCCTACCCTTCATTTTAGTAAAACAACATTTGGAACACCCACTTTTCACTGGTGTCGCTGACGGCCAAAGGAAGTGCTGTGGATCCCTTTTTCTGAGGAATGGCAAACTCACGGCGTTTAATGTTAGGCACTGATATCGCAACTAAGGGGACTGACCAAGCCAGCAGTTTGAGACAGACAGCAAAAGTTTATCACCAAGGACTGATTTTTCAGTAGAATTTCTTTTAGCAGACTTCAGGAGAGAATGGGTCTGATCTTGCTGCTAAACTGAGTGTTCGGTGTCTGTGCATGTTGTGGGGTGACGGGGAAGTCTGTATATTAAGAAGATTGTCTTCTGAATTTCCAGAAGTATTATCCCTCCTGACATGGATGACAATAAAACAGCAAAAGGAATTGCAGGAAGTCATCAGGGTAAAAGAAAGGGGGAAAAAGGCAATTCAGCTGTGAGGGAGAAACTTCCAGTTTGATTCAAAGCTGTTCAATGTTAAAATTGGTTTGGAACTTTTCTAAAAAACATTTCACTAAGGATTAATTTCCGTTTTCTTTCCTCCTTATTGTTTGTCAGTCAAGGTTGCAGCTAGATCACGCTATTTCAAAGACCCATTTGAGTTCAAGAAGGAAACACCCAATTCTCGGCTTGTGACCGAGCCAGGTGAAGGAGGACTGTGACCCATCCCCATTTTTAATAACTGCCCTGCACCCCTAAATGTTCTACTTTACCATGCTGAGCTCAGTTGAAGAAGAGCGATGCACTACTGTGGATTTTAGCTTGCACTTAGCTTGCTGGGCAGCAAAATACCAAAAGGGAAAACCGTAAAAAAAATTAATAATAATTAAAACAACCTCACCCCCAAACTGGCAGCTTGCGCAAGACTTTGTCGGAAGCCCTGTTAGCTAGATGCCTTTGTGTTCAAACCACTTTGCATGACTCTTACTCTGAGTGACTCCAGTGTGAATATGACATTACTAATGACCTGCTAAGTGTGTACAGATGTGGGTTTCTCCAGATGTGATTAATAACATAATGGAGATAGCGGTTGACTCATGTTTATGAGTTGTTTGCCTTTTATTACGTTTCCGAGTTTATTTGCTTTGAACTGGTTTTGTAACTCCAGCCAACAAACTCACCTTTAAATCTTAAAGGGCATCATCCCCTTAAATCTCACTGGGGAAACAGGGCAGAGAGAATGTGCCCCAGGCTAGAGCTGAGCATCAGGTCCGTTCTATGCAGGCATTAGACTGAATTAGGGAAGGCTGGGAGTTGCAATCATTGCCCCATTTCACTCCAAGGACCATAAAGAGGCTTGGTAAACCCTGACACAGTGTTTGCAATCTGGCAAGGCTGATAAAGGAAGATATTTCTTTTTAAAGAAATCTAGTGAAATATGTAATCATTTTGAAGTAAGCCCAGAGTTCTGGCCAGTGTTTCTGGAAGACGTTGCTTGCTTTTGCTTGAAAACAGAATGCTGATGAAAAGTCGAGTAAAATGTTGTTACAGATGTTCAGCTCTGCATTAAGGCTGTTGGAATTACCACCACATCTTAAATCAATTCCCAGAACATTGTCTGGAGGTTATGTCATTGAAATAACGAATCCTCTTTAGTCAAGTATAAGCAAACATGTTAAAACATCATTGTAACTTTAAATTAAACTCTAGCACAAACCAGGGGATCTGAAGCCTCATTAGACTTGCCTGACATTTTCCTAGCACCGAGTCTTCCCAAACTGTAAAACTGTTAGATTCAGTGCCTATTAGACAAGGGAGCACTGGGAAGTTACAACAGCACATTAAGTGTTATACTTAGGGATGTGCAAAAACAAGCCCTTGAATTTTATGAGTACTTGGAGACTGGATGGAGTTCAGCTCCTATAAAAATTCCACGTTAGATTCCTGAACTTGTTTGTGTTCTAAAGAAGTCAGGTTTCTTTAAAGGATCATATCTTCATGTGGCTTCCGCAGCATGAAGGCAAGTGAAAATGCCAGAGATGGAGGTGTATTGTAATTAGCCGAAATGTAAGTTAAATAAGAGCTTGTAAATGGGCATCATCATGAGGTAGTGGCCCATTACTTCAACACATTTGTCTTTCGTGAAAGTGAGTAAATTTAAGCCTCCCTTTTAATTCCATTTTTATTCCTCTCATGTAGTCACAGAAGCCATGAAATGAAAATTATATTTTATAGCTTAACTAAAAGTTTTCTTAGATCTGCTTTCTTTAAATATGCAGAAATTGATAGGATCCATATAAAGGCTAATAATTAAATATGGTTATACCCTACTTATGAGAAAGAAGTTATCACTGCTTCTCTTGAGAGACCTAAGCCATATGTAATGGTCTCCATTACACAGCGTTCATATATTTAAGCTGGAGACGTTTTCCCCCATCTCTTCAGGGAACAGATCTGCATTTCCAAGGCTGTGAGTGCAGGAGGAAACCTTTAAACCCAAGTTTCATTTAGGAGAACAAATCCCACTTTAAATGCAGTATGATTATGATAGATGATCTTTCTGAGTTGCAATGAAAATAAATAGTTTCTTTGCGTAGAAGAGGCACAACTTTACTACCAGAATGAGGTGTCTCCCTGGAGCTGGCTAACAGGTATTAACTTGCAACTCTTCCATCTGAAGATCAGTGTGGGCCAACAGCTAGCAACAAGATGTAAAGATAATGGCCACTTAACCAAAGAGAATTATTTGTTATAGGCCCAATGCAAACAGGGAAGCAAATGCTAAGCAAAAGAATCCCACAGGCATGCTAGGGAGGATGACTTCTGTTCAGGTCTTAACTCATCTAGATTCATTGTGTAACTGGACACAACCGTGGTAACATCTGGTGACCTTGAAAAACGCTAGCCGTGGTAGACTAGGTTAGATAAAAGACCTTTGGATGTGGGATTACAACCTTAAGAAGGCCAACTGAATTATAACCTTAAGATGAGAAAAACAGAACTTGCACCCTGACTAGAGCAACTCACATGCACGCACACAAACACACACATGTTATTTGCTCCAGCATGCTACACAACCAATCTAGGTCACCCTGAACACAATATACCAATTGCAAGCGGCCCATATTAAAAGATGACCTTGTCTTATAGGTCTAGTCAGTGCAAGACTTTCTACTTCATTCTAAGATGGGGAAAGTGCGAAAGTATACTTATACACACTCACACACACACTCACACACACACACACATACACCCTCACTGCCTTTCTACCACATTATTGCCTCGGATGCCTGGTCCCCTATCCTGTGAAAGGAAGATTAATTCAGGTCAAGCTCAGAGTGCCTGTTTGCTTGCCGAGAGATGCATATCAACTCTAAGTGATTTTTTTCAATACCATTTATGTGGCTTGTATTTATTTCCTTTAATCTTTTAAGTGCTGTTTAGTCTCTGTGTGATTTGCTTTGGATACTCATTTCTGATAAGATGCGATATTATCCCAGCCACGTAGTCTCTGCCTGGAGCTCTAAATGACTGATACGGTCGCAGCCTGAGCATGGGCCCTGGTGGGTGTCAGAGGAAGCAGCTGGTACCGAGGGTGGGCTGTGGGTGTTTGCAGGTGCTTTCTTGCCTTCATTTCTTCTGGTCTCACTCTCACCTTACACCAGAGTCATTCCCTTTTTCTGCATCAGCCAGGATTTAGACAAGCCCAAACTGACAGCAGAATAGGAGAGTGTAAAATGTGTAATACTTTGAAGCAGGTTTGGAGGGTAGTTGGATTATTAAAATTGCCTTGGAACCATGTATCATAACCTACTAAATTTATTTAGCGTTTTCAGGGAAGTACCATATAATGCATGCTCTAATATGGGTCTTCCTGGATAATACCAAGTAGCTGACATGGCACTTTCTCCCCCATCTAAGACTCCTACACCATTAACATATATCAAAGCTTCTTTTGATGTCATCACTGCTAATATTTCTCTTCTTAGCTTTAAGGTAACTGCTGTGCATTCTGAGTTTCAGGGGTGCTTTCTTCCTAGTCTGTGTTGCAGTCAACTATAAGAATCTGAAGATACTATTTTTCCTTCTTGACATTACAGCTTTAGCCTGAATTGTGGGGGTGGGGAGAGGAGGACTAGAATTTTGCAGCTGATGCCCTTGGGTGACAGGCTGGGTTTGCATCTGCTAATTATCAAGCAGTTCTCTTAAAAAGAAGCATGATGCAGGCTAATACATCTGCAAAGCTTATTAGTGGGTGTCTTTGGGCAAGAGCAGTAGAGTGTGCTGTGGTGTTTTTAAGTGAAGCTTCACATTGCTTAGCGATCTGTGTGGTTTAGATATTTGGAAAACAGCTTTTGGTTTCCAATCCCCTGTGCTGCCCTCCATCCCTGCCCCGCTGCTGCATCATCAGAGATTTCATTCAATGGCAACCTCCTCCTTCATTCTGGGGCTCTCCTCCAACCTCACCAGCCCCGGTGCTCCTGTCTTCATGGGTTAAGGAAGGACCCCATTGGCACAGCCCCACAAGCCCTCCCTCCTGGCAGTTGGAGGGATAAAAGCTGAGTTGGGCTTGGGATTCTTGAGCCAGCATGCGCCAATGTGCCCTGACGTGATTGAAACATTGGCTGTCAAGACCTTGAATCCTTGCCTCTTTTCAATGCTCTTTCTCTGGCATGCAGGGATTAGGAACCAGCTAAGTTGGTTCATCTGGAGAAGCAGCAGGCTGGCAGTTATGCCGACATTTCAAATACAACTTTATTTCTGATTTTGGTTACCAAAAAATGCACTCGATTACTGGGCAAAGCAAAGTAACCAAAATTAACTCTAGGAATGATTGTTCATAAGTTTTTTTTTTTTTTTTTGGTATACAGATAAATCATGATTTCTTTTTTCTTTTTCTTATGGCAGGGTGTTTACAAACTATTTCAGTCTGTTTAAAGTGCATGTTCAAAGGCTGGAGTGTAAAGAGGTGATGCCTTCACCTTCTCTAAGCCAGCCTGTTTGACTAACACATTTGGTCTTTGTCATTGGGTCCTAAAAGACAGCCATGAATTCCTAGTGAGTGACTGAGCCTTGAGTGTGTGTCCTTTGATATTTTGCCTGTATTTCACAGTCTGCCCTCAAACTGTTCATAATCTCATGAGCTGCCTGTATTTCCAGTTGAAGATGAGCAGCCGTCAACGCTATCACCAAAAAAAAAGCAAAGGAATGGAGGCATGCGGAACTCACCCAACTCCTCGCCTAAGCTGATGAGGTAAGGAGAGGGGCTGGTTGCCCACGGTTTCCCTCTTAGCCTTTCTCTTCCTCCCCTCGCCCCCTCCTCACCCTGCCAGGCTCAGAGTCTCCCCTCCCCAGCAAGCCCAGGGTGGGGGAGGGGAGCGAGATCGTTAGATGGCTTCTTAAAGGCTGGAGTATTTATTCTGTCAGCTTGTCAGCAGTTAATGATAGAGCTGAAAAAATTCTGTCATGAAAAACAGTTTGAAAAGCTGTTTGAAAAATACATAGGCTTTAAAGTCTTAGCTGTCACCATGTCCTGTCTGTGTGTAGTTCCTAAACAGCAGTGGCACTAATGACGGCGGTAACCAATCAGAGGAACTCGTGTGGTTAGTTTGCCTGCGGCAGTCTCTTTCTGCTGGAGTCCCTCCGAGGACTGTTTTCTGTACTTAAGGCCATATGTGAGATGTATCATCACAATCAAAAATGAACCTGAAGATTACCTTCCTTTTATCCTGTCGATTGAAATCAAATTTCTGTTAATTGATTTTGACTGATAAAAAAAAGTCTAATAATGTGTGGACTTGCCAAAGCAAAGTTCAAAAGTAATACAGTTCTGCTCAGGCTAAAAGCAATATTAATTATGAAATAGAGCATGCATGTACATGTTCCCTTCCTTCGTTCCTTCTTTCCTTCTTTCCCTCCTTCCTTCCTTCCTTCGCTCCCTCCCTTCCTCCTTCTCCCCTCCCTCCTTCCCTTCTTCCCCCCTCCCTCCCTCCCTTCTTCCTCCTCCTCTCTCTTTCTCCCTCACTTCTTTCTTGACTATGGCTTCCTCTTGTAAATAGCAAGTGAAGTCAAATTTCAACAGCGTTCTACAGTTTCCTCTTCTTGGCCTCTCCATCTTTTATCTCCCCTTTTTGTCTTCAATTCATCTGCCAATCCCAGCATTTTTTTCCTCTGACATCCTGACTCTCTACCACCCAAATGAAATAGGAGTGATTTCAGATTTGCACTGCTCACCCTATATGGTTGCTGCTCTGGAAATGCCTGCCATCTTGACATTACTTTTCTCTTGTCATGACCACTGGCTTTGATTTTTGAAATACAATAGTGGTGATTTCCATTCCCCATCTTCAGTAACATTTGCATGTCCCTGGCCCTCCACATCTACCTTTCTGGAAAATAGGCAAGGGCAGTCTTTCTTCATATGGTTGAGGACACAGGTTCTCCGTGGAAGACCCACTCCACCCAACTCCTTTTCCATATCCCCGTCTATTCCTGTTCAATGTTTCCTTAAAAGTTCTCTGCCTTCCCATTCACCCAGCCTTCCTTGGGTGTTGCTGATTTACATGCTTGTTTACAGTTTATGAGGAGGAATAAAATGTGCCAACTGCCAAGCTTTTCGTTTTTATGACGCCAGTTGTCATGCTAGCATTCATTTCCTATTTACTCACCTTTAGGTAATCGCCTTATCTAATTCTAACAGTTATTCCCATTTAAAGTAGAGAAAAGCCCAACCACTTTCCTTTGCCTAAATTTAGAGAAGCAAATAAATAAATAAAGAGAAGTCTGAAAAATCTGAAACCGTTGGAGCCAAATTCCCTGTCCCTGTTTGCTATGTAAAGTATGGCTCATTTCTTTGATCTTGAGTAATAATAATTCTGAGGAGTTATACTGTTTTCATATGCTTCAAAGCTGTGTCAAAGTTTTGCTGCTTAAGGCTACTTCTTTATTCTGTTGGCTCTTGGGTACTAAGATGACAGGTCTTCTGTATGAGGTGGAGGCTTTTTTAAGTCGTAGCCTTCAGCAAAACATCAAATTACCAAATCCAGGGTAACATACTTCTACACAAATGCCTTTCCTGTAGATATATTATACCATATATATTAAATACTTTAGTGTTACACGCTACATTTTATGTGCAATAGAAAGTGATGGTTTGAGGTAGCCTTGGGGGGACTTTTTTTCCACAAGCAGAAAAAGCTAGTGTATACCGTATCAAGTATGGTTTTTACAGGACTTTCTGCCCGAAGGCCTTTGTAAATAAGTAATGATCAACAGATTGGCTGTGGGTTTTTGAAAAGCATGCCTATGTCAGTTTGCATGATGGGGGAGAATTTTCAAAGTGGATCTTGCTTTCATTCCTTGCCGGAGAGGGACTGAGGGAGGCAGTCATCCTGGGCTGGAGCTGTCTGCTTCATGGTACATCAGAATTGCTAAACGTGGGTCAGGTGGTGAGCGGAAACTTGCCAAGCTACAGAACTCGGGCTTCTTGTGTTGGTTGCCTTTGGGCTGCTGCTAAGGCCTCAGTTCCTGTCGCTGGGATGCCTTATCCCACCAGCCCACCATGGTTTCCCTCGTAGCCCAGCTGGAATGGACCATCCCATGACAAGTGAGAAAGTCTTAGACACTCCTCCCTTACCATGTCTTTCTATGTCCCAGGTGCTCCATATCCTCCATCTGACCTGGGAGCAAAGATGGGCCCCTGCTGAGCCCTCTCTCCATTTCCCTTGAATTCCAGTGTACAGAAAGACCCCAGGGCCCTTTGGTTTGCATTTGAATATCTGGCACTGGCAATGAAGTCATGGGTAAATTTTTGCTAAATCCCCTTTGTTGATTGATAGAAAACAAGGGCTCCCCCAGCTCTCTGTGGCTTTTCCAGTTGCCCCCGCCTCTTCTGACACCTGCTTTCTACTCTCCAGTAAATGGGACTTTCAGGTCCTATTCCTCATGACCTGAAAAATCCATAAAGGAAGCTAATGACTGATTTGAAGTGGATTTTTCGACATGAGTTTGTGGCTTGCAGTTTGAGCAGAATCAATCATTCTGAATGTGGGCAGGTTTTAGTGGCCTATGGGCAGCGATAGGAATAGCTCCAAGAGGAACTGGAGAGCCCGGAATGGGCTAGGATGGGCTTTAATTTACCACTGTGGCTTCTGCAAATAAAACAGGCTCCTGCGTGAAGGCTCCTTCCAAATCATCTGCCAGCAGGAGATGCAACGGGGACTCTGCACTAATGGTCTTTTCCTCCCCTTTGTTCTGGTATCAGGTTTACCCTAGTGTTTAAGTGTCACTTAACTCTGCATGATCATTAGGTGAACAGCCTTGTTTTGTATGTCTGAATCCTGAGGTAGTATGTTTTTGAGTCACCTCAACAGAAAACAACCCTCACGTCCAGACAGAGCTGAATGGCGAGTGTCTGGGCCCCAGATTGAGGACACACATGTAATGATGGATAAATTTTGGCTCCACACCCGCCGAGGAGGAGTGAGCCGTGGAGGCTTCCAAGTCCCCGGCTCCCTCTGCCTATTATTTCCCTTCCTTGCTGGTCTCTTAACATGGAATTATTGAAGGAGCCTTCCCTAAAATCATGAAGCACCCGTTGCCCAATTCTCCCTACTTAGTGGGGTGGTGCCTTGTAAGGATAGCTACATCTTTCCTCATTTGTAAAGCCCTAGAGGGGCACAAACTTTGTCTCTGAATAGCTAAGTCAAGAGGTCTCAATTTGGGGGCCTTACCAACCCTATGAACCTTCAATGAAAACTCTCTAGGAAGTCTCTCTAGGAAAAAATAAAAAGTACGTTGGATCCCCTTTTGACCACAGTTGAAGTAAATTCGTGGATTCCTGAAATCTCCATTCAGGATCCCTGGTTACAATCACATTCAGTTTATTCCAGAGCCACCTCCACATAGTTGTATTTACACATGCTTTTTGGGGTGATGAGATTTCTCCAGTGGGTAGTTGGTATAGAGTAAACACCTGGGTTCTCACACTGAATCCTCACATGGAATCCAAAAAGTCTGTGCACTTTGACTGCCTGCTTTTAATCTTTTTCTCAGATTAATTCCCATCCAGCAAATATTCAGCGAGAGCCTACTATGTACAAGTGCTAAACTTTAGATTCCTTAAAGAACTTCTGCACAGTCTAATGGATTAGACTAGATCCCTGTCTTCAAAATGCTTATAGTTTAACAGAGGAGAAGACAAGCACATAAAAGCACAGAATTGGGTAAGAACAAGTTGGGGGTTCCACTAGCATGGGCTGTGAGAACAGAAAGAGCTGTCATTACCTCTGGTTTGGGAGGCTGAGCCTGGTTTAGGAGGAGGTCTTATTAAACCTAGTTCCATACCATAAGGAAAATGCTCAACTAATAATATTACCTGTCTAGGTTTACCAGATGCCAGGCATCATTCTGAGACTGGATGCCTGTGACTCACTGAGTCCTAACTACAACTCTATAAGTAGGTATTACTCTTGCCCCCATTTTACAGGTGAGGATGTTGACACACAGAGGTATAAAGTCTGGTAAATCTAGACAAGTTTTCCCTAATTAGGATGATGGAGGAAATAGGGACATGCTGAGACCACAGTAAATGCCTGGGTGTGGCTATAGCCAGGGGTCTTTGGAGTGGCCTAGATGGAGTGGAGAATGTAAGTATTCTGGCACCCAGTCATGAAGGCTTTGCTTGTCATAGGCACTGGGGAACCCCTGAAGGTTTTTGAGGAGGCAGTAACCTAACTTGTGTTTTGGGAGAGTCACTGGTGGCAGAAGAGGGAAGAGTTTGGAGTCCTCCATCAGGATATTTCTGAGACACACACTACATAAGCACAGAGGTGTGAAATAGAAGGCCCACCCAACCCCAGCCTCTGCCAAGGCCATTTGGGTGCTAAGCCATTCAGGGTTTGCTGTAGAATAGTAGACCAGGACTGGGATACATAGTTTTCCCAAGGACACACATAATTCCTGACATCAGTCCTGAGACCTGGAGTAAGATAGAGTAGCACAGACCATGAGGATTTATGTAGTATGTATCAGGTGGACAATTTACACAGATAGCACCCAGCTGGGCTTGCAAGGATAATTGACAACACCCAGAACAGAAAAATTGAACATTTTGAGGAGAGTTTCTTGTCAGGAGACCCAGAAAATATTAGACATTAGTTTCCTGAATGGGAGGCAAAATATGATTTGAGGAAAACAGATTATTCTCTTGGGCATCTCCTGGTCATTAAGTGAAATAAACTCATCTACTTGTTA